AACACATAACCACATACACCCCTCCAGGGGGATGAACAACAGAAACCATGCAGGAAGAGAGACAGCGGTTGGTGGAAGATGTGAAAATAATATTAATTTATAATTTGTCATGGATCACGAGGGGGTGGGAAGAGGAGCTGATACCAAGGGCTCAATAGAACATAAATGTCTAGAAAAGAATGATGGCAACATATGTACAAATATGCTTGATATAATTGATGTATGGATTGTTATAAGAGTTGTAAGAGTCCCTCAAAAATGATCTTTTAATTAAAAAAATAGTTAATACATATTTTCTTCCAATCCCTCCATATACCATCATTTATTCCACTCCCTCCTTGTGTTGCTTGTTTGCATTCCTCTTTCTATCCTAACCTTTGGAATTTGTCTTGGTGTAAATACTACCCTTTTGATCTTACATGCTTGATTATTCTAGCATGAATGAGTTCAACTCCAGACCTGAAGGATGGCTAAGACTTTTGATAGTCCTAGCAGTTTGTATCCTACCAGTAAGTCTCCTGTCTTTTATGATTTTTTATTTTTGTTCCACCTTTTCCTCCCACTCTCTCTAGGACCTTCTACTATGGACCTCCTTAGAACAGGTGTAGGTGGGAGCCAGACACTATGCAGTTCTTTTGGTGTCAGGGTTGTGGAAATTGATGTTGTGTGCACCATTAGTCCACTGATTGAACCAGTTGTTTCTATATATCTTTTGATTTTCATCACTCTGCTGTCCTCTGGACAGGGTGAGACCAATTCTTACACTTCAGAGGACTGTTCTAGAGCTTTTAAGAATGCAGTCATTATTCATGATATCATTTTAGATAATAGAGGTAACTAATATGAATCTTTATTTTTACATGACCAAACTAAAGCAAACAGAGAACTATGAATCCATTCTTTGAAACAGAAAAATTACCCTTTATTAATACAATTGTCAAAAAATTAAAAAATTAGCCGAACTTATTCCCTTAAAAGTACAACAATAAGTGGCATTATTTGCAAATAAAGGAGTCTGAAGAAAAGAAGTGGAGTTAGTTTATAAGTATTTCTTTACTATTTCTTCATGTAATATGAAATAAAAGTTTTTCTAGCAAATGTAACATTTTGCGCAAAATGTACTTATGTCTCAACCTTGACACTATTAACATGTGTTTATCGGTACCAACACTTTAAAGAATCAAATTATATGGTATATGTAATATATATATTTCTTTTTATACTTTTGTGAGTTTTGTTTTGTATTTTTAATTTATTATTAATTGGGAGTTAATACATATATCATTCCAAAATTCAATCACGTCAAGCAGTATTGCACAATTGCTACATGAATCCGTTTGATTGAGATTATATTTCATCTGAATTTAATCATGTTAAAAGTTAATTTTTATGTAATGTTTACTTTTTGAATCATTTCACATACAAAGGATAGGTTAGAATAGCGTTTTTACGGTTTATAATTTTTAATTAAGTCTCACTTGGTATTTTGAAATATGTTATTTTTTTGAAATATGTTATATATTTGGTATCAATTTTATTTTATGAATTCTGGATGTTTATTTTGAGCAACAACACATAGAAATGTCAGAGTTGCCATTTTGCTATGACACTGTTTTCATTGGCAAGAAGGTGTGATGGTTGCTCTCTTTAATTGATAATGGTGGGCTGGACAAAAGTAGTGGTTTGAAGGAAAGAGAGTGTGAAATATGAGTGAGAAATAGCTGTATTTGGTGATTTGGGGGCAATGTGTGTGGAAGAAGGAAGGAAAAGGTACAAGAAGGGGGGAAAGAAAGAATACCCTATATTCCTATTTGAATTTCACACAGATTGATTTGTGATCAAAACCATTTGCACAGAGCAGAAACGTAAGAAGGACAAGCTGAGAAGAGAGGAAGGGCAGAGAGGCCTAAGGACAAGAAAGCGAACACAAAACAGCAGAACTTCAGAAAATGCTCCGGTTTTGATGCTTTAAATGCTCAGAAAGTTAATACACGCACTGTGCTTGAGGCCAGCTCATTATGAGTTTGAGAGTTTAATATAAGAGACTTCAAAGGTGTTATGAAAACGATTCCACTGTCTTTCAGTTTCATTTTCCATGAACTTTTTGTTTGTTTTGTTTTGTTTTTTGTTTTTCTTTGTTTAAAATCATTTTATTGGGGGCTCTTACAGCTCTTATCACTATCCATACATAAATCCATTTTGTCAAACACATCTGTACAGATGCTGTCATCATCTTTTCAAAACATTTTCTTTGTACTTGAGCCACTGGTATCAGCTCTTCGTTTTCCCCCTCTCTCCACCATGCCCCTTGATAATTTATCTTTTTTTTCATGTCTTACACCTACCATTGTCTCATTTCACCCACTTTTCTGTTGTTCATCCCCCTGGGATGGGGGCCATATGTCAATCATTGTGATCAGTTCCCCCTTACTCCCCCCCACCCAACCCTTACCTTCCATGAGCTTTTTGAAGCTCCCTCTTATTTACTGAATACACTAAGAAAGATCAAGGTGATATTATGTACATATAAAGACAAACAAACATTGAATAACGAAGAGCTGGAAACTTGCTACAAGATCCCCTATGTCTGCTTAAACCTGAGCTATCTTGAATCTGACTAAAAGCGTTGTCCTAACAGTTCAGTGTCTAAGTAGCAACAAGAGTTGTCTCTATTCTGAATTAGAGGAAAGCAGTGTATGTACACGGACCAATGGTAGATCTTTCATACACATGCTGAAAATATGAATATATTTTCTTATAAAGATGATTCCCTCCAATGATTATTTCTAGAGCATTATTAGGACACATCTTTGGATATATTATGTTTAATGACTTGATAGCACCTAGTCAAGGGGACAGAAAAATACCCAAACAAAGCTCACTATTGTCAGTTCCAACTCATAGTTACATTACAAGACAGAGTAGAACTACCCCTTAGGGTTTCCAAGACCTAAATCTTTAAGGAAGCAGCTGCCGCATCTTTCTTTCTAGGTGTTTCTGGTGGCATTGAGAGCTCTTGTTAACCTTTTGAATTAGCAGCCAAGCACAAGTGTGCATCCAGGGCTTTTAAATAGCCTTGCCACTTTAACTTTGGACCTGGAATACATTTTCCCATGGCATTACAATGGCGCAGGGAGCCATATCTGACCTCCTTATTTTCATAAGGCCTGGGTCAGACATGCCTTCACCCGCCATCTTTTCTGACTCTATTCTGAAACTAACATGCCACCCACAGCACTCTATTTCTATGCTGGGTTTGATAATTCATTGCAATGGTCACATTGACAATTCACAAACAACACTCACTAGTCAGGGAGCCCTGCTGGTGTAGTGGTTATGCATTGGGTTGTGATCCCCATGACCGACAGTTCAAAGCCACCAGCAGCTCTGCTGGAGAAAGACTGTGCTTTCTACTCCCATAAACAGTTCCAGTCTCAGAAACCCACAGGGGGTTGCCATGAGTCAGCATTTGAGTTTGGTTTTGTTTGATATTTGGGAAGTAAAAGAGTACCAAAAGCCAGAATCAGAACACATTAAGAATACAGGCATGGATCTACAACAACATTGCTCCTCAGTCAGTAGCCACGTCCCTCTGTAGTCCTCAGTACTTGACCACATGGTCCCTTGGCATAGGTCTCTGGGGGCCAGGAAGCCAACCCACTATTTTACCACAGAGTCTCATAATCTCAGTTGTATGACTTTGTTTTGCCTCCTGGTATCCTTGCCTTGTCCTTTGGTCTTGACCTTGCTCCTTTGCTCTGTCCCACAGTCTCTGGTGCCACTGGGCTCAGCCTCCACTGTGCTCCACTGGTGCCGCCTTTTCTTTTCTTTTGGTCTCTTGTTTGTTTTTCTTTTTAAAATCATTTTATTTAAAATCATTCTATCCAAAACAGGATTATAGCCACAGGGTTAGAGTTCAGAATTATAATATATTACATAGGGAATTATGGTTAGATGGGTCATCTTAATTGACTGCAGCTCACCCCTTAAGAAAAATATCTACATAGAAAATAAATCTACGGGTGATTGGAAACTACTTAAACTTTACACCTTTTTTTTTTAAATTGGTGGTCTTGTTAGGTGCCATCAAGTGGGGTCCCATACAGGGTGACCTTATGCACAACAAAACAAAACACAACAAGGTGCCGAGCCATCCCCACAATTGTCCCTAGGCCTGAGCCCATTGATGCAGCCACTGTGTCAATCCATCTCACAGAGCTTCTTCCTTTTCCACTGGCCTTCTACATTTGCAAACATGATGTCCTTCTTTAGGAACTGGTCTCTCCTGTCAATATGTCCAACGTATGTAATATGAAGTCGTGAAATCCTTACCTTTAAGTGACCCAATCTGACTTTTTCCAAGACAGGTCTGTTTGCCCTTTTAGAAGTCCGTGGTACTTTCAATAGTCTTCTCCAGCATCGCAATTCAAATGGATTGACTCTTCTTCTCTCTTCCTTATTCAGTGTCCACCTTTCACATGCATATGTGGGAATTGAAAGTACCAGGGTTTGGGTCAGGTGCACCTTTGTCCTCAAAATAACATCCTTGCTCTTCAAATTTCCCTAATACAACTCTTCTTTTGATTTCGTCTGCTATTTCCATGCCCATTGCTTGTGGATACAAGCAAGCGAAAGCCTTAACAACTTCAACCTTTTCTCCATTTTATCATGATGCTACCTATTGGTCTGGTTGCAAGAATTTTACTCTTTACATTGAGTTGTAATCCATACTGAAGGCTGCAATGCTTGATCTGCAGCAGCAAGTGCTTCAAGTTTTCCTCTCTCTCAGCAGCAAGGTTGTATCATCTGTATAGCATAGGCTATTAATAAGCCTTCTTCCAATTCTGAGGTGTATCATACTCTAATTTATGGCAGGGAGACTGAAATTAGAATTGCTTCTTGCTATTTTACCTGTGTACAATTCAATTACCAATCCCTCATTTTCCCCCACTGTCCTATTTGCCAGATATTCAAAACATGTATTCTGAACTTCCCAAAAAATGAGTAATGTAATGGATGTATAGATGGATTGTGATAAGAGTTGTATGATCCCCCAATAAAATGATTTAAAAATATATTGGAAAAAATGAGTATTGTATATTACAAAAATTAGGATTGTATATGTTTCTCCCTTTCTGTACTAAATTTCATCATTTAAAGAGTAGACTTTCAGTTTAATTCTCTACTCTTCAAAAAGGCCAAGAATATATCATAAACTTATTGAAATGTCAATGATTTCTTAATTGTATTAAGAAAATAGTATTTATTTTGAGTTGTAATTTTATTTTCTTTGAAAGCTTTGATTACAGCCGTATATATTTTTTAAAGTTACCAGGTGTTGCAAGCAATCTGCACTCAATTACTAACCAGAAAACTGGTGGTTTCAACCTGTCTAGTGGTACTATAAAAGACAATCTGGCAATCTACTTCCATGAAGAGAAATCAAAACCCAACTCACTATCATTAAGTCGATTCGAACCCATGGAGACCCTGGAGGACAGAGAGGAGCTCTCCTGATGGTTTCCGAGACTGTACGCCTTGATGATAGCAGATAGCTCTACTTTTTTCCTGAGGGTTCCAACTGCCGACCTTTCCATGATCAGAGATAGCACATGTTATCTCACAGTGCTTCCCAGGCGATTTCCCGTTAAGGTTATAGTCACACACCTCATGGAGTTCCAGTCTGTGATATATTAGGCCCCCATAAGCCTGAACCTATTTGACAGCAAGGATGCTTGGCAGTGCTCAAATGACTGCTTCGGAATGCCAATGCCATTTGTATATCTTCATATTGGTTTTCTTTTTATCATGTTAAAGTTATTGAAAGCATCCAATAAAAATGTTTCTGGAAGCAGCAGGCCACTGTGAGGCCCTCGACTGAGCAAGCACTGTGGGTGTTTCCTTTGATTTTTATTTCAGAAATCTCTACCACAGGATCTCTTGGCTTGGGAAGCACCACCACCAGTGCCACCATCCGAACGACAACCTGGGGCCCCGGGAGAAGCACCACCCCGTCAGTACCAGCAAGAAAAAACAGGAGTACCAGCACCCCTGCTCCCTCTGTGGACGTGCTTGATGATGTTACCACACACTTTCCATCGGCGTCATCCCAAGTCCCAGCTCTTGAAGAAAGCTGTGAGGCTGTGGAAGCTCGGGACATCATGTGGTTCAAGACCCGGCGAGGACAGGTGGCGAAGCAACCATGTCCTGCAGGAACGATAGGTAAAACCACCCTAAAGCACTAAGTTAAAGTCTAATGCAAATACCTGTCGCTTCACATCTGATTAAATTTCAAACTCAATTAAACTGCAGTTTAATTGCCAGTGTTTGCAAATGCAATTTGAGGAAGTCACAGGTTGAGGTCAATAATTTCCCCCCTTGATGTTCGGTGTGTTGGTGGAGTTACAGTGAGAGCATGTGTTCCAGCTAACCCGGAGAGCCAGTGATTACATGCAGTAGTACACAGTGCCTCATCTGATGTCTAGGAGTTAGTCTCATGCTTATCACCAACTGCAGCATACAAAGGCTGCAGATAGAGAGATACTCAAAGATCTTCATTGAACTCTTTGCCTAACATACAAGAGAAGAAGTGTCACGTTCTCTTTACAAGCCTCCTCAGTACCAAAGACTCTTGTTCTGGGGCTGTATTGGCAGGAGTAAACCTCTCATTTGCTAGTCCATCCACGACTGAAAGTAGTCCTGTGTTTTTCTGAGATAAATAAGAACTAAAAATGTCTTTGCATGTTTTATTGCTGTGATAATGCATGATATTCCCATGATAACCTTATCATTATAATTCTTAAGTTAAAAATTAGTCTACATTTTGTGATGTGATATACGTAGATCTTTAAAAAAATTTATATAGATCTCTATAACATTAACCCTTGATTAAATTCATTAAAATTTGATTATTCCCCAAATAGCAAATTTACTAATTAATGTCACTATACGTCAGTATATGTGATATTTTTTTTTCACTCTCTCACTCACTCACTCTCTCACTCTCACTCACTCCTATATGTGATATTTTTATGAACTCTGTGTCTTTGGGTGGTGGTAAATTTGTCTTTGAGTTTTATTGATTTGATTACTTTAAGGAAACTTGTTTTGCTTAGAAAAAAGTGCCAATATGATATATCATGCTGAATTCTATCCTATACGAAGGGATGGCATGACCATCAAGTACATTGTCTTTTCTAAAAGTACATGTTTAATATTTTTTTCAGCAAAGAGTTTTATAAATATTCAGAATTCTCCCTTCTCTTTATGAAACAGGAGGGGCATGGCATATTTATTCCTAAATGTTTGCTGTAGTTTTGAGTCAGAAAGTTTTATTTTGAGTTGCCCCTTTCTTTTTGCTTTGTGCCCATAATCATGGGCTTCAGCTCCTTTAACTTGAAAAAAGATAATAACGCCTTCCCATCCCACTTCTATTTCAGAAGTTTGTTGTGAAGATTAGGGTAATGGTCTATTTGAAAACAAACAGATTGCACGCAGCAAAGCAATACAGAAACATGTTGTTATTGTTCTGTGAGAACTAGGAAAGATCATTTAAAAAATAAAAGGCCTCTAACGCTCTTAGTACCAGTCAATCCATTTTGAGATATTACCACTTCTCCTCTGTTCCTTTTTAGAATTCTCTTTCCCAATTCTCATGACACAATAACATGTGTCTGTGATGCTTTCCTGCTTAAAAAATGCTTATTTTAAATTATGTTAGTTCAAGCCTTCGCAATAGTACTTCCTTACAACCTTCTGATCACTCCCACAGATTCAACTTCCATAATGTTGCCAGAGAGGTTTGCAAAACATAGATCTTGTTTCCCCACCTCTGATTAATAATCTCCATGGATTATACAAAACTTTCAAATGATATTTCATTTTGCAAATCAATTTATGATCCAGTCCTTTCTACTTCCAACACCATTAAATACACTCCTCTTTCCCATAGACTGGGTTCAAAGAACCTACCGAACTTGAAGATTCCCAAAAAGAGCACGTTGCACTTCTACCAAGAATGCCTTTCCCCATCTTTGTGTAAAATTATGTCTGATTCTTTCAAGACACAAATGTATCCTTGCTTTTGAGAATGTTAGCAGTGAGGTGCTCGGAGGCAGGTACCAAATCTAATTAACTAAATTATTGTTTCTACTTTCCAGGCTACCTGGAAGTGTCTTAAAAATAGTTTGTTTTTATTGCATTATACTTCTCAAATTCCAGTTGCATGCCAGCCCCTATATTTAATCTCAACTTAATTATCTTGCTTTTTCTCGTGCTAATTTTTAAGCACAATATGTATATGAAGACATTATAAGAAAGTTGGTTTGATAATTTGAAGTAAACCTGCTTTTCTCATTGTCACAGGTGTGTCCACTTATCTGTGCCTTGCTCCTGATGGAATTTGGGATCCCCAAGGACCAGACCTCAGCAACTGTTCTTCACCTTGGGTCAATCATATCACACAGAAGGTACATCTTGTGACTCACAGAGATGCTCTTCCAAAGCTAGATGCTTTGTGGTTGGTTACAATTGCTGGGAACAAAATGGTCATGTCTTTTTTGAAAAATGACTGTGGAAAAATTGTTGTTGTTATTGTTAGGTGCCATTGAATCATCTCGAACTCATAACGGTCCTGTGTACTACAGAATGAGCTACTGACAAGGCTTTTGTCTTTCTGCCACTTGACAGTGGGTTTGCTCCCAATTGACAGTGTGTTTGAGTTCAGAGTTGCAAAGCATGATGTTTCCTGTTGCTAGCCATTCCAAGAACATGAGACAAAGTCTTACAATCCTCTCCTCTAAAGAACATTCTGGCTAGACTTTCAACACCACCAATGTTTGTTTGTTTCGTTTGTGTGGCGGTTCACAGTATATTTCAGTATTCTTCAACAACATAATAATCCAAACTTCTCCTTGGGTCTTCCTTATTTACTGTCCAGCTTTTGCATAAATATAAGGAACTGAACATACATTGGGTTAGGTTCACCTTAGTCCCCAAAGTGACATATTTATTTTTGTTTTTAACACCTTCAAGGTCTTTTGCATTAGATTCTCCCAGTGCAATATTTGGTTCGACTTGTTGCCTGATGTTGCATGGGCCTTTACTGTGGAGCCAAGTAAATGAAATCCTTGACAAATCCAATCTTTCTTCCTTTTATCATGATGGCTGCTTGCTGGTCCTCGCTGCTCTCACTGCCATTGAACCGATTCTGGCTTTTAATGACCCTGTAAAACAAGAGAACTGCTCGGTGGGGTTTCCGACACTTTCCATCATTATGAGAGCAAACCACACTCAGCACGACCGCAACTCACTGCCGTGAGTCGACGCTAATTCACACTGACGCTATAAAGACAGCACAGACTGTCCCTGGGAGGATCCCAGAGTTCTTTTTGATGAGAGTAGAAAGCCCTGTCTCTCTTCTGATGAGCAGCCGGTGGATTCAAACTGCTAACCTGCTGGATCGTGGATCCCAATGTGCAAGCACTACTCCAAGGCTCCTTACGAGAGCTTGCAGTCTGATGGCATTCCTCAGAGAACTGGTGGGTCCCACCTGTGGACCCTTGGTTAGTAGCTCAATGTGTAGCCACTACCTGGGCTCCATTATTGGTCCAGGTAGAAAAATGTTATTTTACCTTAATATAAGCTTTAAGACAATATCTGGTGTTCTAAGAGCTAATTCTAGAGGTTTTCTGTTTTTGTTTTTGTTTTTTAGTAAGCCAGGTAGAATGGTTTATAATAATAAAGCTATTACTAAAATGTCTTTGGTATTGTAGATATAGAAGCCCATGAGACATTATAAACCAAGCTTAAGCCAAAGCTTCTAGCATGCATGCATTCATATGGATTTTCCTGTGGAAATAATAATTACAATAAAAATTTCTTTTGGAACCTTAAGCTTTTTGATAAGTGTTCTCTAATCTCATAATTTTGCAGTGTTAAAAGTATATATACCTGTGCAACAGTATCTGAAAGACACAAATTTGCAGGACTTATTTGGTTGTAATATGTTGAGCATTTTCATTATTAATGCACTATGGGGCTTTGAATTGATTTCATTACAAACAGAGACCAGATGTGCATTTATGCCAAAGGGCTATGGGATGAATCCTTATTATAGCAATTTATGTGGATTTATGCACTCCTAAAATGGAGAGTCCTTCTATGGCACATTAGCTATGCTGAGGAATTTCTGAAAGAGATTTTTCCTGAGAAATATTACAAATGATGGCCTTACTAAAAGCCTGTCTGTGCCATTTGCTCTTTTCTCTATTTGTTTTAAACCATGCTTATCCTCAATAATATACAGTATAATAATCCATAAATATCTACCCAGTAGATCATTTCGCAGATGAGCCATAACTATCTATTTACCCTAAATCATGAAAGAACCCTGGATATATTGACTCTAGTTACCCTCTTACATATGCATCTCCATACTTGTTACTATTCATAATGATGCTTCTCCAATTTCTGCACTGCTCCTGCCACAGTTTTTATGTTCTTTGATTTTATTACAGTGTAGCTCAGACCCCAGGGCAAATCATTCTTGCTGGATGTGATCAGATTAAGAGATCAGTAGCACATCTCTTTGCAAATAGCCAGTAAGAAAAAATATTCCCTCATATTTAGCCTACTGGTTAATATTAATTCAGTAATAATGTACCTTGGAAGCTGGGGATTGTCACGCTAGTCTTTTTAATATAGTTGGACTATATTATATTTCACTGGAAAAGTTACTAGGTGACTTTTAGTTGATAAAACAGAAGCAAAACACTGCCATCAAGGCAATTTTGACCAACAGAGACCTTACAGAACAGAGTAAAACTGTCCCATAGGGATCCCCAGGCTATAATATTTACAAAAACAAATTGCCACATCTTTTCCCCTTGCAGCAGCTGGCAGATTCAAACCCTCACCGTGTTAGCTATCAGCTGAGTGCTGCACCAAAGTTCCACAGGGCTCCTGGGTTCTGAAGCTTAAGCCTCCTCCTTCCTCTGCAGACTTGATAATCTAATGACAAAAGAGAGAGTTCCTTTCAAATACCAGACAGCTGCTGCCCATTTGATTTATGGATTTTTTAAATTTTACTTTATTTTTAAAAAGCACTATTCTGTTTATTCCTATAGAGTTTATATCCTAGCTTTTATAACTGGAATTTATATCTGTTCTTTAGATTGATTAATCAAAATCTGGACATTTTCAAGTGTAAGTGCTTGTTGAGTCTCAGAATCAGTTAATGAAAGTGGCTCAAGGTGGAAACTTTCTATCCCTGTAAAAAGGCTGTGGGCTCGGATCTCCGCAGCCTTCACAAGGAGGAAGGAAATGCAAGCTCAAAATCAACCCGCAAACCAGTTCCCATAAGTAGGAGGTCAAACACGCCTCCCACATTTTACCTTCTTTTCCAGTGTTGACACCAACCATTCCTTCAACAGCACTCTCAGTTTTGTTTACATAATTGGGTTAAATTATTCATTTCAGTGGTCACACAGAACTCACAGACAATAGCAACAAATATGGGGCTCCTTAGGAACAGTAACGGGTTACAATTCAGAATGAACGATGTTCAGAATACAGTTCTTCTGATCTATGGGACCTCATTTCATTTGTGCCCACCAGCATGCCTCTCTTGGTTACCAGCAGGCAACCCTTTGGTCTTTGCCATGCTTAGGCAAAGCTTCTTTAGTCCTGCCAGTAAATGCTCAAAGGACATTCAACTCCACTATCAATCAGTGGTGCTCCACTCCAGCTCTGTGCGGGTGACACAAGCACACAAAATGGACTCCACCAAATCACTGGGGGTTTTTTCAGTCCTTTCTACCCTTTCACCTTTTACTTAGGAGGGGTCCTAGCCTGTAGTGTTACTCACTGGTCTGCGTCTGCATGGTCAGCAGTTGGAAACCACCAGCCTCTCTGAGGGAGAATGACTGTCTGCAGGCAACTTGCTCTGCAAGTGAGCTTCCTGCCTGCAGACACTGAGCAGCCTCACGCTGCGAGCCACCGTCTTGCGATCTCGGTGCTGCTGTGGCTGCTGTCCTTGCTTCTCTGCCACTTCTCTGGTGTCACAGCTCTCTGTCTCTTGCATCAAAGAGATTCATCCCACAGAAATCTCAGGGCCCAAAAATGTACTTCACTCCTGGATCATTTTTTCCTGATGAGAGTTAGAATCCCCACTCCTGCTTCTAAAAGAGCTCATTTTACACCCACCATGATGGCAAAATAAATCACCCCCTTTTCGGGGTCTTAAGTTGCTATAATCACCTTTAGACCTGTTAGCATTCTCTTACCACTGAGTCACGCAATCCTATCAGCCTCTTTCCCCATCTTCTGTCCAGACTCAGCAGGAAACGACAGCATAGACCCACTCAGCATCATCCCACTTTGTTGCTTGGTGGGAGTTACAAAGATATGACTAGAAGAGCCAATCAAGCATATTATTTACCACATCACCTCAGCTGTCATTTTAAAGTCCTGTTTACCCATTTACTTGGAGCGGTCCGAAGAGAGTAGTGGCTACTCAGTGGTCTGTTATCTGCATGGTCAGCAGTTTGAAACCACCAGGCACTCTGAGGGAGAATGACAGGGCTTTCTACTCCTGTAAACAGGGTCTCAGAAACCTACAGGCGTTTGCTATGGGTCAGCATCGACTCAACGGCAGTGAGTATTGAGACCCTTTTACTTGACATCATCCCTTACCCCTCCACCAAATTATCATTAAATGCAGCAACTGATGCATTGTTAACTTCAAGGGAACACCTGTATTTGGTTCTCTTAGTTATTTGTCTGTAGCTTCTCTTTCACAGAATTCATCCCTCTAAGCATTTGGAATGTTTGAGTGATAATTGTAAAGGAACAGCAACTTCCAAGGGATTGAGAACAAACCTAGAGTTAATTACGTAGGTATTACTCCCAATGCTGGGCAAATGTCATCGGTTTAAATCCACCAGCGATTGCATACAGGCAAAAATTGAGATTGTCTGCTTCTGTCACTATGAGTAAGAATAGACTCTGTTAGTGGGTGTGTTAGTCCAGGTAGACTAGAGGAACAAATTCACAGACCCTCAAATGTGTACAAGAAAGAGCTTTATATAAAGAGAAATTGTACATTAAGAAAATATCCCAGCCCAGTCCAGATCAAGTCCATAAATCTGATATGTCTGATTAGACCGTATGTCCAGTGCCAATCTATAAAGGCCTCTTCAGACTCACGAAACACATACAATGACACTGAATGCAGGAAGATCATAGGCCAGTGGGTGGGAAGTCTTGTGGATAGCATCTCAACACTGGCAGGGGTCTCCAACAGGCTCCTCCAGCTCAGGGCACAAGCATAGTTTCATGTGTCTTGTCAGCTGCAATGTCTCCCAGGGTGTGAGCATGGGTCCTGCCTCCAACGAGCTATTTATCTTCTTCATGCCTCCAAATGAGGTCATCAAACACCAACCCAATTGACAGGCTAAACTCCACCCCT